ATCTTATGACTCCAGTAATTTCAGTGAGGTGCGCCGGCACGAACGCTTTCAATTTGTGTTTTCCTAGAAAGTGTGTCATGGTAAGGAAGTTATTGGCCGGTGCTGGTTTTCTGAACGTTATGCCCACTTTATATGCGTTCACTCTGTGGACGCCAGCGATTCCTTTTACATTTTCCGTAAATAACTTTGTAAGTGCTATTGGATTTTTGTTACCGATTTTTTCGTTTTCTTGTGATTCAACGTAGACTACGCAGTCTACGCTGTGGTTTTCTGGGAATTGTCTCGTGTAATTTGTTTTTGTGAAAATTTTGTAGTCGACGGCATTTCCTTTGCGAGTATCATGCAATTTCCTTTTCTTTGATTCTTGCTCGGCGGGGGCCGGGCCCCCGTCGGAATCTGGACCCATTGTATTTACACTATATATAGGTATGTACTAATTAACTATTTACACGGAAATTTACAAAAAATATACAAAATAAAAAGAAATGAAAAATTAAAACACCCGCTTAGCTTGACTTCCCGCCGAAATTCACAATAGCTTAAATATTAGAACGTGTTACCATTCTTTTAAAATACAGATCCTGCCTTACTTTGGTTAAAAACCTACCAAATCCTGCCAAAGCATGTAGTGAAAAATGTTTAATTTACCATTGTATTAAACTAAGAAAAGTAAAAATACACATTTAAATGCTATATTTTTATTAAATAAAATTAAGCGTACCTTTCGTTGGTTTGAATGCAATGCAATCACCATGCTCACCAATGGCTTGTTTAACGTGCAATATAAACGCTACATGTTTCTTTATAAATCTGTTTCGTGATTTTGTCTTAATCAAATTTATATGAGAGAATATTCTTTCGCATGCTGAATCCACTCATATTTTTTTTGATGTTTACTAGTAGCGGCATGCTCCTTTAAAGCGAACAGCCGGGATGTCAATTTGCAGCTACACAGTCTGGATAATCTTTAGCTTTGGATATCCACGATGAAAGTAAAGGATCTTGCTCCCACTCCGCTCTATAGTCCCTGTCATATTTTTGCTTCATCACCTCTACCTATAATTACTATCGTCCACGAAATATAATTAACAAGATATCGCTAACAAGATATTATCACCATGAAAAGTAATGCGATACCAAACCAAACTAAAGTACGTCTCTTCTATGACTGATTAAAATATTAACCATAATTTCGTGTTTATGAGTACTCATTTTAAAATTATCAACTTTATACACAAACGTTTAAAGTTGTTTATTGAATGTTATACAAACACGAGAAGTACAGGGAAATCCCCCACATGTTGGTGAAGTATCTAGGCTTGCCATTTTTGGCATTTTAAGTTGGTATAATGAAATCTATTTTTAATACCCCAATACTGCCAGGTTTTATGAAACGACAACCGATCATGCCAGAGGCTAAAATAAGAGGCCAATCTTAACAAATTACTGGAATCTGCCACATATGGTCACACTGTATTAGATTTTTTTTTGGAGTTTATGGCCTGGTATCTAGACCTTTAGGCCAAGTCTTAAGTATTTTTATTCGGTTTATTGTAATTTCCCCACTCCTTCATAGTATACTGCTTCACAATATGTTGATGCGTCACATTGTGCAGTTCTTGGGAGATTTTGGCGGCAACTTGATCCAGCAGACAGCTGATAGTTGGCGATGGTATCTAAAGGTGCCTATGCAAACAAACAGCTTATCTTGAGAATCCATCACCATCAGAGCACTTGTTTCACTGTTTCCACTAATAGTTCACATGCGTAGACACTTAATACACAAAATCGCAACACTTTTACATATCAAAGTCCACTTCAAACCATTATTTAAACAATAATACAGGAGCAGCAAACCGCCGCCGGTCAATTTCCCGCCAAAACTCTATTAGATTATTTAGATAGTCTTGTCACAGATTAAATATGGTCTTGTGTAGTTCGCCAACGATGAACGAATAGGAAACGTATCGTAGCACTGTACTAGAAGAAAAGTTTATGAACGCTGATTGTTAAACGTTGAAACGTTATAGAAAGATATAAGTTAGGTATATCAATGCAATAACATCTAATTTAGCTAATCATCCGAATAGATCACTACTTGAACGTCGCCGTGCTACATTCAGGCGGTCGAGTTGTAAAGTTAATATATTTTTATATTATGTTATTTTTTGCTATGAAAATGAATGATTGTAATGGCGGTTGCAACAAGCCTCTGAAGGCTAATGAAAAGATTTCCTGCTCTCAAACTAACTGCAAAAAACAATTTGTGTTCAACTGACAAGTGCTAAAAAGCCGACTAACTGGAAATGCCCTGAATGCATTCAAGAAATGTCATCAAATCAGCGTAATACAATCAAAAATTATACACCCGGTAAGAACTCTTTATCTAAAGCTATCAATGAATCACTCGACGAACGTCAAAATGTAACCTTTACTCGGGGTAATACTTTAAATAATGCTTCGTTGAAGAAACTGTCAATCTGCGGTCCGCTGTCAGAAATATTTTGCATGAAGAAATAAGAGATATTGTACGAGCAGCAATAAGCGAAGAGTTTTCCATATTAAGAAAGGAATTACGCAGCTGTGAAGATTCTTTAAGCTATTTGAATAATAAGTTTGAAGAAATGAAAAATAATGTTGAGGCCTGTGTGGAGATGAATAAAACAATCCAGCTAGAGAACAACTTATTGCAGCGCAAAGTCAATGATTTGGAATCGAGGTTGTCTGTTATAGAGCAGGACTCGAGGCAAAATAATATAGAAATTCATTGTCTACCAGAGCACAGACAAGAGAACTTAGTTAACACTCTTATGCAAATCAGTAAAGTAGTTAGTTTTCCTCTTACAGAAACTGACATTGTTGCCTGTAATAGAGTTCAAAAACAAAACCCAGCCTCAAAAATACCCAAAACAGTTATATGCAGATTTGTCAGTAAATTAAAACACGACAACTTACTTGCAGCTGTATACAAATATAACAAGTCTCATCCCAAAGCAAAATTGAACACCAAACTTTTAGGCTTTGGTGATGTTGAATCAGCCGTCTACATCAGTGAACATCTCACCCAAGCTAATAAATCACTGCATGCTGCAACGAGAATCTGGGCGAAAGAGAAAAATTACAAATATGTATGGATAAGAAATGGAAGAATTTTTGTTAGAAAAGACGATGAACATCCAGCAAAAGTGATATTACACCAGTTTACCTTGAAATATTTAAATTAGATTTTATATCTTTTTAGCAACGGTCATTGTTTTTAGTTTTAAAATTCACTCTTAACATTTATTACCAAAACATCCGCGGTATGCGGACTAAATTACCTGATGTCTTTTTGGAAGTTAGCGCTAACAATTTCGATTTAATCGTATTAACAGAGACTTGGCTTAACGATAGTATATTTGATAGTGAAATTTTCGATAGTAGGTATCAAGTATTTAGGAGGGACAGATCATCCAACACTTTTAATGAGAATAATGATGGAGGTGGTGTTGCTATCGCTGTGAAAAAATCAATTAGTGCTTATAGAAACCAAAATTTTGAATCTCGTTGTGAAGATTTATGGGTAAACCTAGAGCTGGGTAACTATAGAATCTATGTTTGTTCAGTTTACTTACGTTCTCCTCTAAATCAAACTCATCTCAAGCATTTTACTGAAAATGCTGGTAATGTCATTAATAATTATACATGCAATGATATTCTTATTTTCGGAGATTTTAATCTGCGTGACATTGTTTGGACTCCTTCTAATGCAGATTCATCGCTTAAACCCAGCAATTTCGATAATATCTTCGGTTATGAATTCGTAGATTTTTTATCTAGTTATGATCTAAAGCAATATAGTCAGATCTCTAATCACCAGGGCAAAATTCTCGACCTCGTGCTGAGTAACACAATCTGTGATATTTCCGTTAAAAAATCAAACAGTATAATTTCTCGAATAGACAACTATCATCCCCCAATTGAAGTCGACTTAGTTTTATGTAAAGCAAAAATGCTCTCTCCAAGACAAACTCCTAAATACAAGTTTTTTTTAGCGAATTATGATAGTATACGAGCCCGTTTATCTGACCTTAACTGGACTTCGGAGTTCCAAAACTGTTCGACTGTTGATGAAGTTGTATCGAAGTTTTACTCTATTATAAAAAAAGTTATCACTGAATTTGTTCCATGTCGCATACAGAACAAAAAATCATATCCTCCATGGTATACAACAAACCTCATAAAACTATTACGAGAAAAGGAAAAATCTCGTCAAAAGTTTAAAAAGTACAGGAATGATTTAGATAAATTTGAATACAATATCTTAAAAGTTAGGACTAAAACATTAATCAAAAAATGTTATGACAGATATATTGAAACTGTTGTTGACAGCGTGATTAAAGACCCTAAGTACTTTTGGACTCATATAAAAAATAAACGTAAGAATAATGGTTGTATACCGTCTAATATGAAATTTGGAGACAAAGAAGCTAATAATGGAGAAAAAATTTCCGACCTGTTTGCAGAAAATTTTGAATTAGTATGTAAACCTATTGATATTAGTTTACATATAAACAAAATGGAAATACCAAAGTCTGCTTTCTCCATGGGGAATCTTTATTTAAATAATGACAGTATTGAGAAGTGCTTAAAGGCTCTAGATATTACTTAAGGCCGCCGGAAGTGATGGGATTCACCCCTTGTTTCTGAAGGAATGCGCAGTAGAGCTCACGATACCTTTACATATTATTTTTAATAGATCATTATCTGAAGGTATATTTCCGAAACGTTGGAAGGATGCAATAATTATACCATTACATAAAACAGGCGATAAAAGTAATATCTGCAACTACAGACCTATTAGTATTCTTCCAGTTTTAGGTAAAGTTTTTGAATCGTTAATTTGTCCTTATTTGACTTGGCATATAAAACATATTATAGCTGATGAACAACACGGATTTTTTAAAAATCGCTCTACTACATCCAATCTTATTACATTTGTTGACAGAACACTTACTAGAATGAGCTCAGGGAATGAAGTAGATTGTATTTATAATGACTTTAGTAAAGCGTTTGACACAGTAAATCATTCAGTTCTAATCGAAAAACTACACACATTATTTGGCATACATGGATGCTTATTAGATTGGTTTGCTTCATATCTCACAGATCGAACACAAAGAGTAGTCATTAGCGGTTTTGTTTCTAGTGAAATTATCCCAACGTCTGGAGTTCCACAAGGCTCGCACCTTGGCCCATTACTTTTTATTATGTTTATCGATGATATTAAGCACTGTATCCGTAACTCCGAATTTGAATTATACGCAGACGACCTAAAGATATGCAAAATTGTGAATAATAACACAGACCAAATTCAACTTCAAGAGGATATAGATAGAATTACAGAATGGTGCCGGCAAAATAAAATGTCTCTCAATACAAATAAATGCTATCACATTAAATTCTCTCGAAAATTTAACAAATATAATAGTAGTTACAATATAAATGGTGTAGATTTAGCGAAAGTAGATGAAGTGAAGGACTTAGGCATTGCTATTGACACTCATATGTGATTTACTAACCACATTAACAATACCATACACAAATCATTAAGAATGTTAGCTTTTATTTTCAGAAACACCAAAGATTTTACGTCGGTTTTAGCGTTAAAAGTTCTCTATTTCGCACTGGTTCGCAGTCATGTTGATTATTGTTCAGTCGTATGGTACCCGTCTTATCAAAATAATATTCAGCGTATAGAAAGAATCCAAAAAAGATTTTTAATTAAAATATCTTATGTAAGTGGCGTTCATCGTACAATTCGCAGATACTCTGAAAGATTAGCGCATTTCGAAATTTTATCATTGGAGCAGCGAAAGAATTTGCTATCTATAAGCCTTTTACATAAACTACTTAATAATAAAGTGGATTGTCCATCCCTCCTATCACAAATTAACTTGAAGGTGCCCAGAATTTCAGCAAGGTTATGTAATTTTAGTCCCTTTAGTGTAAATTTCAATAGCAAAAAATATGGTAACAACTCTCCTCTATGTTCTATGATGAGAAAGTACAATGATATATTCGGTAAATGTAATATAGATCTCTTTAGTGATAGTCTGGGTTCCTTAAAAAAGAAAATATTTCTATACTACACTCAAACTGAAAATTAAAACTTTAAATTATACAACTTTAAATTATACAATGTTAAGCTCTCTACCAAATTATAATTTTACCTGTATTGCATAGACCAGTCTTTGTGTTTATATCATATTTTATTATCTGTTAATTTCATAACTAATTTTAAGTTTCATGTTGAAATGTTGTGCATACCTTTAAGTTAAATACATATATAGTATAATTTTGTTTATAACTGCAAATGTTTAATAATAATGTTTTGTATGTGTTTAGTTGGTAAGCCTAAATAAAAAAATCAATAAAATAAATAAATAAATAGATGCTAGACTCGCTGTCTTTGCAAATTATTTTATTTATTATACTTATAAATAGATACAAGAACAACCATTTGCTTGACTTCGTTTCGGCACTTGCGGTCGCGTAAAAATGTAATCAAATTGAAGTTATGTTATAAAAATACTTGAGTAGTATTTTTGTATTTGTTAAGTATTTTTATATTTTGTTAAGTAGTATTTATTTTTCGCAGACGCACACACTAATGACTTTTTCGCCATAATGCGTAGAAAAGCAGCGTCTCTCCTGCAGCGCTTACGTACCAGCAACAACGGCATCCTAAGGGTAATTGCTGCCAAGCCCGACTGCCCCATACTGCACCACTGTATGACGATAGCTATTGGGCGAAAAAAAATAATTTGTACATAATTCACATTAACTAACAATACTAACTTACAAGTTAAGGAAAAATTGTTACTAACATACTAACAATCTATGGATGTTCCTTACGTCTGAAATAAACACTTATTATTATTATTATTATTTGTGCTTTTTATTATTGTTTTAATGTTGATTGCATCCTTAGATGCTTTTTATTTTGGCATTTTATGGATATGCGATTTTATTTCATTAACATTAATTATTATTTCCACACCAATTTGCTTTAGACTTTTATTTTGACCAAGAAATTATCAAGGGCGTGTGTGAGAGTGATAAAACAACATTACGATTCGAGCAGATATCAAACGACTGAGACTGAGACTCACTGAGTGAAATAAGCATTCCATACAGATTTTACAGATAGATACAGTAAATGCTTAGTATTACTGATAACCCAATAGAGCTAATAGAACTAATAGAACGAACTAGTTCACAGGCCGTAATGAACTAGTACGGAACGATCTTTAAAATGACCGAGCAGGCACAAGACCAACTAATAAGAAGTGCTTGCACAAGACTAATATTAGATAGACACACAAACAAATAAGAAGGATAGACAGACGTTGTTGTTACGATTTGCTCATAGACTAACGAATATACTAGCTACCTAGCTAGACGACCTGACAGCCCGAAAAAGAGTGACTAATTTTGATTTGTCATTGTATGCGTTAGCTAGAAATGTACATTTTACTTACAAGGACTAACTTTAATCATGCATTTGCGAAGATTGTCAAAGAAATATCTAATAATAAATAATAGACCATGTCGGACAATGTCGGATTACAGCGGGTGCCGGATTAGACAGGGGCCGGATTACCGGGGGTCCACTGTAATTAAATACATTATGGAAGTTTATTTTAACATTCGACTTAAATATGAATGTAAACTTAATAATTTAAGTAAGGAAACTTGTAGGAATAAGTTAAATAAGATTGCCCTGTTTAAAGGCCAATTGAGACAGACACTTCCCGTTATTCCATGTTCAACGTACGCTGATGAAATCAACACTTGCTTAAAATCATCGCGACTGTGGCGTAATATTGAAAAAGTACAACTGACAGTGAACATGCACGTTCAAATGCTTCAGGATTCATCCGCCGAAACTTTCTCAAAACAACTGTTAGATATTGGCAATGGAAAAGTTGCTGTACATGAAAATACGGGATGCATAAAACTGCCAACCGATTTCTGCACAATCATCAACTCGCAAAATACTCTCATCGATCACATATATCCCGATGTACAAACACAATACAAAAATCTTGAGTGGCTGGCAGAAAGAGCGATTTTGGCAGCAAAAAATGTGGACGTCAATCAATTAAATTCCAAGATACAATATTTGTTGCCAGGGGACTTGGTGTCATACAAAACTGTCGATGCAGTTTGCGATGCCAACAAAGCTGTGAATTATGCAATTGAGTTTTTAAATTCAATCGTTGCGATTACGATTGAACGTTGGATCTCCGGTTATTTTGCTTCGTAATTTGAACCCACCATGGCTTTGCAATGACACACGATTAGTCATTAAAAATTAATAAAAAACGTTATCGAAGCCAGCATTTTGAATGGCAAGTTCCGGGACTAAAATGTATTGCTGCCACGAATCCCTATGATTCCTACAGATGTGCCAATTGAACTCAAACGCATTCCATTCCCAATTAGATTGGCATTCGCAATAACTAAATAAGTCACAAGGCCAAACGTTGTCTGTTTGTGGCTTAGATTTGGGTACACCATGCCTTTCCCACGGACATATGTGGCATGTTCTCGCGTGGGAAAACCATCCAGTTTGTTTGTATTGGCTAGAGACGGACTGATCAAAAATATTGTACACCCCATTGTGCTGAGAGATTAACCTTTGTTTATTTTTTAATTGCCATAGTTATTAGTAGAAATATGCATAACTATTTTCGATGTCGTGCCGTGTAGTGGCGGTTAAGAATATCCACTACCCCATATCTTCCCGTGGGTGTCGTAAAAGGCGACAAAGGGAAACAGGCAGGAGATGGGCAGCAGCATCTTCCTGGTAACGGCAAAAATACAATAAAATAAAACTGCGGTTGCCAACCCGCTCGCCAAGCGTGGCAACTATGGCAATATACCCCCCATGATGAAAGTTACGAAGAGACGGCCCCCAGTCCCCGGCGGCCCCACTATTCTTGGCTACGGTGGCTACCATGGTAACGGCGGGGCAGGGGGTGCTAAGAATCTCCGGTGGAGGTTCGGTTGCCACCTACGACGACTCGACCTGGCAACATACAACGCACGCACCCTGAGGACTGACGAGAAGATTGTGGAGCTGGAAGAAGAGATATACAAGTTACGCTGGCATATTATAGGATTATCCGAAGTCCGAAGAGAGGGGGAGGACACGGTAATCCTCGAATCCGGTAACTTGCTCTATTACCGGGAGGGCGACCATCTGTCCCAAGGAGGTGTCGGATTTATCGTCCACAAGTCTCTCGTTAACAACGTTGTAAAGATTGAGAGTGTGTCGACGAGGGTTGCGTACCTTATACTCAGAATCACCAAACGGTATTCGCTGAAGGTCATACAGGTTTACGCACCAACCTCGGCACACCCCGATCAGGAGGTGGAGGAAATGTATGAGGATATCTCTAGAGCCATGAATTCCTCCAAAACCCAATATACGGTGTTAATGGGAGACTTCAATGCAAAACTAGGCACAAGAGAGAACGGTGAGCTGAAAGTGGGGAAATTTGGAATAGGGCAACGGAACCCAAGGGGCCAGCAGCTGGTCGACTTCATGGAGAAAGAGGGACTCTTTATGATGAACTCTTTCTTCCAGAAGCGGCCCCACAGGAAGTGGACCTGGTCGAGCCCCGACGGTTCCACAAAAAATGAGATTGACTTCATTATGACGACCAGACGACAACTGTTCAGTGATGTCTCAGTGATCGCGAGGGTGAAAACCGGCAGCGATCACCGAATGGTTAGAGGCACACTGAACCTACACGTAAAGTTGGAGAGGTCTCGTCTAATGAAGTCAACGCTCCGTCCCCCTCGTGCTCTAATCCAAGGTCCCGAAACCTTTCAGATCGAGTTACAAAACCGTTTTCAGTGCCTAGAAGACTGCAATGAAGTGGACGATTTGAATGACAAGCTCGTGGAAACTGTCCATGCGGTCGGAGCTAAGTTCTGCAAGACCCGCCGCAGAAGAACACAAAACTCTCCGATCACACTCTTAATCTCATGGCTGTTAGACGGGAGATGAAGCTACATTCTTCAACAGATTTGACAGCATACAGGCAACTGAACAGACAGATCTCCAAATGCATGCGGCGGGACTTACGCAACTTCAATACAGCTCGTATTGAAGAAGCGATCGAGCGGAACCAAGGCTCCAAAGTCTTTGCCAGAGATCTGTCTGCCAGAAAGAGCCAACTGTCAAAGCTGAAGACCGAATGTGGCAGCATCGTTTCCGGGGCACCTGAGATTTTGAGTGAGATTGAGAGGTTCTATGGGCAGCTGTACATGTCATCGTTGGAGCCGCACGCAAGTGTGAGTAACGATCCAAGAGCGAGTCTTATCCGACATTATTCCGATGATATCCCGGACGTCAGTCTGAGCGAGATTAGAATGGCTCCCCAGCACCTTAAAAACGGCAAGGCCCCAGGCGAGGATGGAATTACAGCGGAGCTTCTGAAAGCGGGTGGAAAACCGGTACTTGAAGTCCTTCAGAAGCTCTTTAATTCCGTCCTCCATGGTGGCATTACACCGGAGGCGTGGAGCAGAAGTGCGGTGGTCTTGCTCTTGAAGAAAGGCGACAACGCTCTCTTGAAGAACTACAGACTGATTTCCCTTCTGAGCCGCGTCTACGTGCTGTTTTCGAGAGTCATTACGAATCGTCTCGCGCGCAGACTTGACGACTTCCAGCCTCCCGAACAAGCCGGTTTCCGAAAAGGCTTTAGCACCATAGACCACATACATACCCTTCGGCAAATTGTTCAGAAGTCCGAGGAGTACAATTTGCCACTATGTCTGGCGTATGTGGACTATGAGAAAGCCTTTGATTCCGTCGAAATTTGGGCGGTGCTGCAGTCCCTTCAGCGATGCCAAGTTGACTGTCGGTATATCGAAGTGTTGAAGTGTTTGTACAGTAGGGCTACGATGGCTATCCGAGTACAGAATCAGAGTACGAATCCTATCCAATTGCAGAGAGGTGTAAGACAGGGTGACGTCATATCCCCGAAACTCTTTACCGCTGCATTGGAAGATGTTTTCAAGCTTCTGGACTGGAAAGGATACGGTATCAACATCAATGGCGAGTACATCACTCACCTTCGATTTGCCGACGATATAGTCCTTATGGCAGAATCGCTGGAGGACCTAAGCACTATGCTCAATGACCTCAATAGTGTTTCCCAACGGATAGGTCTTAAGATGAACATGGACAAAACAAAGATCATGTTTAATGTCCATGTCACACCTATGCCGGTAGTTGTTGGGAACACTAAGCTCGAAGTTGTTGACGAGTATGTTTACCTGGGACAAATAGTCCGACTAGGTAAGTCCAACTTCGACCGAGAGGTCAATCGACGGATTCAACTCGGTTGGGCAGCGCTCGGGAAATTACGGCACATCTTCTCGTCAGGTATACCTCAAAACTTGAAAACGAGACTGTACACCCAGTGCGTGTTGCCAGTGATGACATACGGAACTGAGACGTGGTCCTTCACTGCTGGCCGGATGAGGAAGCTCAAGGTCGCTCAGCGAGCTATGGAGAGGGCTATGCTCGGAGTTTCTCTGCGTGATAAACTCAGAAATGAGGATATCCGCAGTAGAACCAGAGTGACCGACATAGCCCAAACGGATTAGTAAGTTGAAATGGCAATGGGCCGACCATATAGCTCGAAGAACCGACAACCGATGGGGAAGAAAGGTTCTCGAGTGGTAGCCTCGTACCGGCAGGCGAAGTGTAGGGCGTCCCCCCACTAGAATGACGACCAGGTAAGATATGCAGGAAGTCGATGGATGCAGTATTTTAATAAAGTTTTTGAACTTTGAGCATGTCAAATTTTGTATATTTTCTGTGAAAGCGTACATATATGTATATTTGTTGTAAAAGCGTATACATAGCCCCAAGAATATTTACTGACTCGATGGAGTCGAGTAACTGGTACTACTACTACTAGCTTGTGTCTTCTAGTATTTACAGAATTAATATCACTTATTTTGGTAAAACTACTTTTATTTTTGTGTACGTACATTTTCAAAGCCAAAGTTAATATATTAATTTCCTTAAATTTTTGTCGCAGCGGCTCTTTAGGCTTTAAAACATAAACGTTCTTTTGGTCCTCTTCTGTAAAACAAATATAATTTCAGTGTCAGCTGCGTGCCACCATAGCAAAATACCATACGACACTATGCTATGGAAATACGGTAAAACGGTGGTAGAGCCACGCAGCAGCTTTTGCTGTTGCACGTATGAGCCGGCTCGAGCTGGGTTAGTACCACGACCTCACAGAATACCGGCGTGAAGTGGAAGCTCTGCTTCCGCGTGTCGTCTGGTGAGTGCAGGTGACCGGAGGCCCCATTCCCCCCCCTCCCCATCAACATGGTAGGGGAATTCATAAACTACCCCAGCAGGGTACCAGTACCCCTGGAGAATTCCTCGCTGAGCATCCACGACTATGCTATTCCACTCCTGAGCGTGGGTGCTCAGGCTGCCCCGCGTATTCTGGGGAAGGGGGGGGGGCAAAATTCCGCTCAACACAATAACTGCTCGGGGCAAACTGAGCAACAAGAACAAGGCGACCCCTGCCACGCTATCCGTGAATTTCTGCAACATCAGGAGACTTAACTCGAACCTAAACGCTGTCCACTACCATCTCGAGACGGCGAAGCCGGCACTGCTCTTTCTGACCGACAAGCAGGTGTCCTCTCCGGCTGATACTTCGTATCTCTCCTACCCGGGGTACAAATTGGAGCACTCCTTTGTGCCTCGGGCTGGAGTTTGCGTGTATGTCAGAGAGGACATTTGTTCTCGACGCCTCGGCAGTCTTGAAGGTTGGGACCTGTCCATCCTTTGGCTACGCGTAGACAGCGACGAACATCCGCGTGTCTACGTGTGCCTCTATAGGTCCCATAGCGGTAATGCCGAAACAGACCGACTCATCGACCACGTCCAAATGGCTACAGATTCCTTGCTACAACAGCTCCCATCCGCAAAGATCGTGATCCTTGGCGATTTTAACGCCCACCACGCTGAATGGCTCGGTTCACGTTTAACCGATCATGCGGGGAGATCTGTTTATGACTTTGCCTTGGCATATGGTCTGACACAACTGGTTACATCGCCTACGCGGATTCCAGATGTTGAGGATCATACACCATCCCTGTTGGACCTTCTGCTGACCTCTCATCCGGACGGATATCAGGTTTCCGTGGATGCCCCTCTTGGCTCTTCGGACTGATCTTTCCGATCCGGAGTGTGGTGCCACTCACGCTCCCCTCGCGGTTGCGTTCTGCAGGTTGCCACCATGTTTGGTATTACAGGTCGGCGGATTGGGACGGAATGCGGTCTTTCTTTGCTTCCTACCCATGGGGGAGGGTTTGCTTCTCGCCGAATGATCCCAGCGCTGTTGTTGACTCTGTCACTGATGTGGTGCTACAGGGAATGGAACTATTTATTCCATCATCTGTGGTACCCATCGGAGGCAGATCTCAGCCTTGGTTTGGTCGCTCTTGTAAGACTGCTTTACGCAGTAAGCAGGAGTGTTATCAAGCCTGGGCTGCGGCTTCGGCGACTCGGGATGTAAACACCAGCATATTTAAAAAGAAGTATAACTTCGCTTCCAGGTCCTTTAAAAGAATTATTGCCAAGGCAAAGTC